TGTATTATTTGTTGAAACTGTACTTTCGATTTGATTTGAAACTGTCTCATTGCTATATGTTTATCAATAAAACTTTGAATAGAAAAAAAAGAAAGAAAGAAAACCATAGAAAAAATAAAGACAAAGCAGAAATTATTGTAATAGAAAAATACAAGAGCAAAAATCATGTCAGCAAAATGAATCGAAATTATATATGAAATTAATAAATAGAGACACATCAAGAAAAAGATGATAAATATATTACTAATACTCAACATTATAAAAGGTTATCACCATCTCTTAGGCACATATAAAAATAATAAGAGATTATTAGAAACAAATTTATGAATCTAAAATTGCAAATTTAGTTGAAACAAAGTCCATGAAAAGCACAACTTATCAAAGGTGATATAAACTGTCTAAATAGTCTTAAATTTGCCTAAAAATTGAATCTAATTGTTTTTGTATCCCTCAGTGCCAAACCTGTCCTTTTTTGTTTTGCTTGAGGTGCTAGAACATTTGTCCCTTGCGGATTGGGACAGTGCTGAGCTAGCAACAGAGGGTGCTAAAGAGCACTAGGTGGGGAGACAACTTTCTTCCTATTCCAGGGCTGTCTTCTGAGCTCGCTCAGTGGTGGATCTGGGCAGCAACAAGCAAGGCACCAGAGGGTGTTCCCCATCCTCTCGCCCATCCTGGCCCCAGTTCCTGCCCTGCTGGCTCAGGCTACTGTAATTGCAATAGAGATTTCCTCCTTTAGGGGTCCTTCACGTCGCCTGAGGCCTGGTGGCACTCCACCTATGCTTCTGGCTTGCTAGCCCTGCTTTGTGATCCTAGCCCGGCCAACCTCAGCCCACTGACTTTGGTTCTGCTCTTGCTCTAGAAAATTCAACAAATTTCTCTAACAAGTTGCAACCATCCTTCTTCAACAAATCTAAATCCCAGACTAAGTGAGACGCATCCTGATCCTAAACCTATTCCTACCTTGAGGACTATCTCCAACCCAAAGATCTTCCTTAGCGCTTTCTTTAGTTCTTCATCCCTAAAACCCTGTAAATAGTTTATAATTCTTGACCTTCTATCTTCCCTTTTCAAATTACTTTTTTTAAGATCCAAGTTTTTTTATTCTCTTCATGTTATCTCTTTCTTTTTTAAGAGAATAAAAATAGTTTACAAAAAGTGTATTAGAAGCCATACAGAATTTCACTGACCAAGATGATAGCAATCCAACAGTGGTTCTTACACTGCATGTTGTTGTCTTCAAATCAGTTGCTCAGATTACCAAATATAACCATGCAAAAATTGGTCACAAAATTAAAAGGAAGAAAATATTTCAGCATGAGCTGCTCCTTTCAATAGAGCAGTAGAAATCAGCAGTACAACCATCCAGGCTCTCCTGTGTGCACACCAACTGGTGCTCTGTCCCCTGGCTGGACCCCAACCAATTCACTGATTTTGATGGAAAAAAAAATTCCTGCAAAATAAATTGGGGGCTTGATTATTTTTCCTTGTAAAAGCTGAAAAAAAAATCATTACTGTTCTACAAAGCCTTGCAGAGAATAAAAATAAAGAAATAATCCTTCCCAACTCATTGTGAGAGACCAATATAAAGTTTATACTAACATTTGATGAGGGTAGTACAAGAAAGAAAATGTAAAGGAGATTGTCTCTCTCTCTCTCTCATGAATATACACCCAAAACGTCTAAATTTAGACTTAGAAAATAATCCACCAACATCTTAAAAGGATAGCATATTATGGTGAAGCATAGTCAAGACTGATTTTGTTTACTTTATTATAAAAATGTAGGACAAAAAGTTTATGTTTATCTCATTAAATTTAAAATATCAACAGCAATTCAGGATTTTTAAAAGCACTATTAGAATTAAGTAAATTAAGCAAGTTGGTTGTAAATACAATGTACAAAAATCAAATACATTTCTAACAACAGAAAAAAAAATCAAATTATTGGGGAAATCTAATAAAAGATAACAAAACTTTGCACATTATTTAAAATATTCCTGAGAGAAATTTAAGAATGAAGAAATGGAGGAAAAAAAAAAAATCCTTATAAGGGGGCGTGGCCCTAGCTCAGGCCTTTAAGTGGCTGCTTCCACAAAGCTCTCAGCCTCAGGTTGCTGGAGTTTGAACCTCACAACTCTCCCGCTGGCCAAAAGTGCCCTGAAGCCATTCGAGGAACAAAAAAAAAAAAAAAAAAAAAAAAAAGAAATGGAGGAACATACACATTCATGAACTGGAACCCTCAACATTTTAAAGATGTCAATTGTGCCCAAATTGCTTCAGCTTTCACTCAATTATAACAAAAATGTCATTGATTTCTTCAGAAATCACATGACAAAGTATCAACATTGAAGAAAAAGGTTGAAAGGCTTGCCCTTTATCAGATATCAAATTTATTATAAAGCTGCAGTAATTAAAAAGAAGTAGTATTGGTGCAAAGATAGCAAATGAAAAGGAAAGAAACAGAACCCCACTTGCATCGATCACCACTTGGCTCGTGACAGATACTGTATCCTCCTCAGTCTGCTGATGAAAGCAATGGTCTATTCCATAAACAGTTCTGGGAAAATTGAATTTCCATATAAGAATAAAATGGGCCTTGATTTATACCTCCAACTAAACCCCAAAATCAATTTCAGATGGATGATATACCTAAAGCACAAAAGAAAAATGAATATAGTTTTAGGAGATAACAAGCGAATATCTGACAAACAGGAGACACACACACACACAGAGAAATAGAGAGATAGAAGTAGAGATACACACATACAGAGAGAGAGAGAGAGAGAGAGAGAGAGAGAGAGAGAGAGAGACAAAAGCATCATTGGCAAGAATGAGGAGCAACTGCACCTGGATTCACTGCTCCTTTACACACCCGCTTTGAAAAATTATTTGACAACTCTAAGGCTAAACATAAGCAATTTTATTCCTAGGTAAACAAAGAAACAAATGCTTCTATCCACCAACATGCATGCAAATATATTTTAACAGCAGTATTTCTAACAGTGAAAAGCCTAGAAGTTACTCAAGTTCCTTATCAAAATAAAATGTATACATAAGTCAGGGTATGATCTTCAAATTAATATTCTTTCAGCCATGCAAAAAGCTAATTACTGCCATATGCAGCAGCGCTGATGAACCTCAGCGACATAATCTCTCACAGACATGCAAGAGTACAGGTTGTGTGGTTTCATTAAATAAATATTTTTAACAGGAAAAATAATCTTAGGCAGCAGAGGTCAGAGTTAGTGGACCCGCAGTGGACTCACAGTGGAGCACAGGGGAGCTCCAGGACTGACAACAATGCCACACAGCTCCTTCGGGTCTCCAGTGCACCACACTCCTTTTGCTTCCCCCTGTATCTAATGCTTCAGGTGGTCACTGTAAGTCTACCTCATAAATGCATCCAGACATATATATGACATATATGTGATATATGCATAAAATCTATTTCTCTAACAAACCTTCATTCATATAAACCTTATTAAAAGTTATGTGTCTTTCATTACATTTATAACCATCTAGAAAGGGCACAACTATGGTGGGAGAACCTCTTTGATTACCAGTGGCTCCGAGTGGAGGGAGATTTTGCCTGCATAGGGCAGCAGGGGCACCGCTCTGCATGGTGGGACTGTTTTGCATCCTAGTAGCAGTAGTGGTTATGTGACATCGAGAGCTGTACATTTTTCTACAGTTAACTTTTTTTTTTTTTTTTTTTTGTATTTTTAGGGAAGGATCTACGGGGTGTTCAGGGTCTCACTACTAGATTGGACTCATAGTGATCCACCTGTTTACAGCCT